CGCCATTTTTTTTTTTTAAAAAATTATTTGCGGCCCGGTACAGAGTGCTCCACGGACCGGGACCGGTCCGCGGCCCGGTGGTTGAGGACCCCTGCCTTAACCCATATAAAATTTGTAGCTTGGTAATACAACTCCCAATTAGGCAAACCAGATCCTCCTCTTATTCTAGCATCTTGCAAAAGTTTTAACTTTATTCTCGCTTTCTTACCTTGCCATATATATTTCAACACAATTTTATTTAAATCTTCAAAGTAGTCTTTCCCAAGCCTAATTGGAATTGTTTGAAACAAATATAAATTTCTGGGTAATATATACATCTTGATTGTTGATATTCTCCGTATTAATGACAGTTGTAAATTTTCCCATTTCGCCAAATCTAGCGCTATCTGCTGTTTAAGTTTGATATAATTATTCTCTTTTAGTGTACTGCATCTTGCTGTCAAGTATATCCCCAAGTACTTGATCTTATTTGTGACCTGAATTTTCAATAGGTCTGCCAGTTCTTCCTTTTGTCTTGATAGCATATTCTTTGTCAAGATCTTTGTCTTATCTGTATTTATTTTCAAACCAGCCACCTTTCCATATGTCTCTATCTTTTCTATCAATTTTGATGCTGTTTCTAGTGGGTCTTCTAAGATAAAAACCAGATCATCTGCAAATGCTTGCAACTTAAATTCTTCCTTTTTAATTTTCATCCCTTTTATATTCTTTTCATCTCTAACATTTCTATTTAGCACTTCCAAAGTTAACACAAACAACAGAGGTGATAGTGGGCACCCTTGTCTTGTTCCTTTTCTTATATCGATAGATTCTGTCAGTTCTCCCTCTATCATTACCTCTGCCGTCTGCTTATGATATATAGCTTCTATTGCTTGAATAAATTTTCTAGCAAAGCCTATCTGTTCCAACAGTAATAACATGAATCGCCAATTCACATTATCAAATGCCTTCTGTGCATCTAGAAATATCAGAGCCTTTGTTTTTCAGGATGTGCCTCGTAGTATTCCAAAGTGTCCAAGATTACTCTCATATTGTCTTTAATTTGTCTCTTTAGCAGAAGTCCATTTTGATCAGGATGGATAAAATTATTTAAGTATTTTTTAAGTCTTTCTGCCAATATTGAAGCAAAGATTTTATAATCTGCGTTTAGTAGGGAAATAGGTCTATAGTTCTTGATTTGTAATGGATTGGTCTCCTCTTTTGGAACAAGTGTGATATAAGCTTCTGACCATGATTTAGGTATCCTCTTCTTTAACATAACTTCATTCATAACTTCTAGCAATGGAAAGTTCAATGATTCTTGTAATGTTTTGTAAAATTCTGGGTCCATCTGGGCCTGGTGCCTTTCCATTATTTTGCTTCTTGAATGCTTCAATTAACTCCATCATCGTTATATTGCTTTGGACTGCTTGTTGGATTTTGCTTAACCGTTTAGAGCAGTGGTTCCCAGAGTGGGCGGTACCGCCCCCTGTGGGGTGGTGGGATGTCTTAGGGGGACACTAAGAGGCAAACGGGCTGGCAGGGGGCCGCTAAGAGGCGGCAGGGGGGTGCTGGAGGTGGCCCCCTCGCAGGGCGCAATTCAGGGGTGGGATTTTGCAGGTAGCTTGGCTGAACTCCTGCCCCTGGGAGTCAAAGCGCTGAAGCACGAGCGGTGCGGGAAACTTTGGCTGGGGTCTCAAGATGAGAGCGACTCTGGCTGCCGCTTCTTTCCGCTAACAGGCGCCCAAGATACCTGCAAACTGTCAAGCGCTCCTCAAGAGAGACGATTTTGCAGATAGCTGGCCGAACTCCTGTGTAAAGGGGAGCACAACATTGTTGCACCGCACTAACACGGGGGCTAGCGGGGAGGTGGCTCATCCCCAAAGCGCCAGCATTGCTCCAGCGACGCAGCTCCGAGGACGCGACCTTTGCCTGCACCCGTCACTCAAGGGCGGCAGCCAGGGAAGCGCTCCATTCAGAAGCGCTGAACTTCCAATCGGCGCCGGAGGCAGCGCCCGAAGGGGCTTCCACAAAGGGGGAAGAAAACCCTCCCTCTGCCGCAGCAGCCGCTGCTTTCGCCCCTCTCATAAACCCTGCCAGTTCCCGGGTGTCCCGTTTGCAGTCCCGCCCGAGGATGTGCCGCCTGCCCCCCCACTCCGTTACGTGTCTATTAGGAGCACCTGAGCTTCTGGAGTCCTTCGGGGCACCGGGTGTAAAACCGCATCCAGCCGGCCACTCCTTTGTCTGAAGGGGAGATTTCTGGTTCCTTGTGTTGCCGTGTTTTTTTTTTCTCCCGTGGACGGTGGAGGAATCGAGAGTTTCACGTATTTGTGGCGTGGGTCCCTGTCACGAAATCGGAGCCTTTTGGAAAGGCTTCTTGTGTTTTTATGTTATTGGCCCATTGCAGAGAGGGTGTTGAGAGAAAGAGAAATTGTAATATAATGGAAAAATAGTTCCATTTTATTATACCGGTAGGAGAGTGGCTTCTGATAATCGTGAATGCAAAACAGTAAATGTTTTCCCCTCCTAATCAAGGTGATGGTATTTAATACCTGAGACAATAAGCAGAAGAAATTCAACAATACAGAATGAACCATTTTATGTGACACCTCACTGTTGATACTTAGAGACAGTTTTGCCTGTTAGCGGAGAGAAGCAGCCGGAGTCACTCTCATCTCTTGAGAGCCCAGCCAAAGTTTCCTGTGCCACCATCCGTCAAAATTCAAATTAGTGGTCCACAGGATTTAAAATTATGAGTTTGGTGGTCCCTGAGGTCTAAAAGGTTGGTGACCCCTGGATTAGGCCCCACCTGCCTGGGCAGAAAATAGGTAGATAGGTTAAGGAAGGGATAGAGAGAGGGGGAAAGAGAGAAAGAGAGGGAATGAGAGAAAAAGAGAGAGGGAGGGAGGGAGGAGAAAGTGAATGGGATAGGGAGGGAGGGAGAGAGAGAAAGAGAAGGAACAGACAAGAAAAAAGGGAAAGAAAAAGGGAGAAAGGAAGAAAAAGGATAGACAAAGAAAGAGGGGAGAATGGAAGGAAGGGACAGAAAGAAAAAGAAAAAAAGAAGAAAGAAAGGGAGGGAGGAGAAAGTGAATGAGATATCTAGTCCAACCACGTGCTCCAGCAGGGTTAGAAGGGTGTGTGTGTGTGTGTGTTTGTGTGTGTGTGCACGTGTGGTGGCTGTCAAAACTCCAAAAATAGGTCAAGTAGCTCTGGGGAGGTCAGTCATAAATTAGAACACTTACTAAGCAACCAGCCATTAAACGAGGACCATTTATATTTGGTTTGCCAGGCACATGGCCACCTGGCCATGCCCACCCAGTCACATGACCATCAAGCCATGCCTATCCGGTCACATGACCACCAAGCCAGGCCCAGCCAGCAAGCCACGCCTAGCCAGTCACATGCCCACAAATTAAGCCACGCCCACAGAACCAGTTGTTAAGAAATTTGAATCCCACCCCTGGGTGGGGGGCACTGAGGATGAGTTTGTAGCACGAAGGGGGCGGTGGACTGAAAAAGTTTGGGAACCCCTGGTTCAGAGGAAGTCAAAACCTACATTTTACTACACAGTGTGGCTGTGTGCTGGTTGTGTGTTATTCTTCACCACTCTCACTACGTCTCCCTGTGTGCGCTCATTCTCCTAACGGGGAATGACCTCAACACTGACCCCACATCCACCCTCTTCCCAGGAAGGATGCAACGCCAAAGGGGGCCAAAAGCCAAGGCCAGATCCTGCAGTGGAATAGAAATAAACAGAGTTGGAAGGGAACTCAGAGGTCTTCTAGTCCAACCCCCTGCTCAGGCAGGAAACCTTGGCCTATCCCATTTCAGACCAGTGGCTGTCCAGTCTCTCCTTAAAAACCACCAGGGATGGAGCACCCACAACCTCTGGAGGGAACCCCTAATTGTTCTCATTGTCAGAAAATTCCTTTGGGTGCTTTGAAGGACAGACGGACTCCCCACTTCTCTGGGGCAGCATGAGAGAAGGCAGCTTGCAGGCTCTGGGCTCAGCCAAGCTTCTCCTCTGATATCTCTGGGTGTGTGTGTGTGTGTGTGTTCGGGGAGGAGGGGGAGTGGGCAGTGGACTTCCAGGAACTTCCCCACTCAGATAGTGTTGTGGTTCGCCGGCAGCCGGTGCAGCCGGCTGAGGTCTCGGAGAGTGAGGACTCAGATGAGGGGCCTGCATGTGATACAGGGATGGGGCCAGGACCATCAAGGAGTGGAGTGCTGCCTTCGGAGATGGTGGAGGCTGGCAGCAGTGAGGAAGAGGCCCCCGAGGAGCCTGTGCCCAGGGTGTGTGAGCGCAGGGCTGCTCAAAGGAAAGAGCAGCTGCAGCAGCACGAGCGACTCGGGAGTAAGGCTGCAAGGTGATGGCCCCTCCCTTAAGAGATAAAAGCCAGCTGAGAAACCAGAGTTCTTTGCAGGAAGCAAAGAAGTTTTTGCACTCAAGCCTTGTGGACGTTCGGATTATCTTGGTTGGTGTTTGGAGACTCTTTGCGTTTGAACTATTTTTTGGCACCTTTACCTGGTGTTCCTGGCAGCTTTGCACCACCTCGGCAAGGCTCGTTCTTATCAGAGACAGTTAGTTTGAAACAGCCTTTTAACCGGGAAGGAACGGAATTCGTAAAGAATTATTAAAAGGTTTTGCTGTTACCTCCCTTTCGTGTTTGTTTCCTTGGAACAAAGTTTGAGTCAGAACAGGTAGCCGAGGAGGGCCCGTTCCCTCCCCCCTCCCCCGAGGAAAAGGAGCCACTTTGTGGGTCCCAGCAGAGGAACTGGGGGGGGGGGGACGGGGGACAATTGCTCTCTCCAAAATGATCTTTTGTTTTAATTATAAGGTTTAATTCTGTTCCCAAAATATACAAACCAGATAAAAAAAGGTACAAAAATATACATAAAAGGAAAAACAAATATTTAGGGAAACCACTTTTTTTAAAGGCAAAAGCTCCGAAGGAAGACCTGGGGGGGGGGGGGGGGGGGGGCCCCCCCCCCGGCCGGGCAAGGGGGGGGGGGGGGGGCGAAGGGGAGGGCTGTGTCGGCCTCTGTGGGGGAGCCAGCCCCCCCCCAGAACTTCTTTCCAGGCACTACACAGCCCTCAACTTAGGAACCGTCACTAAGCGAAGGTCCGACAAAGCTACTTGCAGGGGCGCTGTTGTAACCCAGATCCAGAACTCCGATGGGGAGGATGCTGGTGGTCAGGGAGCGCAGCTTGGGGGCCTGGCCAGGAGGGGGTCCCCCCCTTGCGAACATTCGCTTAGGGACCACCTGAAGTTACAAGGGCGATGGGAAAAGTGGGCATGGTCACATGATCCAAATCCAGGCGCTTAGCAACTCCCAATTACCACGGCCACAGCATCCCTGGGGTCACGTGATCCCCTTTTGCGGCCTTCCGACAACCAAGTCGACAGGGAATCCAAGTTCGCTCGACCACTGTGTGGCTAACTTAACAATGGCAGTGATTCGCTTAACAGCAGCAGCAAGAAGGGTCATAAAACGGAAATCCTGGAGCAGCTCTGGATCACACCCCCCTGCGGTGCCCCCTCCACAATGGAGGCGCCCTTCCCTTCCCTCCAGCTGCACGGAGGGCAGAGGGTCCACTTCCTCTCCCCCTCCCAGCGGCCGGAGCCAACAGTCCTGGGGAGCAGAGCTGGGGGGGGGGGCGCGGGGGGGGTCTCCTCGGGGTCTCCGTCCGGCCGCAGTCACGCCCTGCAGTTGTCCACGCAGTCCTGTCCTCTCTGGAAGAGGTGGTAGACGCTGGTGGGGGGGAACATGACCAGGGCCCCCAGCAGGGACCCCGCCTGGATGACGGCCCCACACCAGAGCAGGGCCGCGTGGCCGGCCTCGTGCAGCAGGCTGCTGATGGCCACCTTCAGGTAGGCGAAGAGGCCGGAGAAGCAGGTCCAGGCCAGCACCTGGTGGGTGGGAGAGAGGCCGGTCGTCAGCCACCGAGGACCCAAGCACCCGCCCGACACCGGACAGACGGACAGAGCAGCGTCCAGCAGAGGCTCTGTCCTCAAGTCACCGAGTTTAAACACGCTTGGGATAAACCCAGCAGGAGCAGCATCCCGCAGGAGCGAATGTTATTATTTCACTATTGAATTTGTCGGCTGCCCGCAAGGAACAAGGAAGAATTAAAACAGAAATAATAATAAGCTAAACAGAAAAGGAAATCAGAGGAGGACAGACTCGATGGGTCCGGTCCCTGCCTCTCGCGTAAAGGGGGGGCAGTTGGGGGGCGTCTCTGGTGCCTGATGAAGTCCAGGAAACAGCCTCCCTCCCAGGGAGATGGGCACCAGTCCAAACGGCCCGGCCTCCCTTGCAGGGTTGTTGTTGCTGTTGGCATAACAGGGGAAGAAAGCGCATCCTGAGTGCCATGAACCCGGGAGCTTCAGGGGAGCCCTGCTGGGCTGCCTCCTGTCTTCACAACAACCCTGCAAGGGAGGCCAGCTGGCTCTGCGGTAGCCTCGGCAGCTTTAGGGTCCGAGGGGGTGGGGGGGCCCCTGCTTTGGGGGCCACTTGGCCCAAGTGCCTCCCCCCTTGTTGGAAAAGGAGGACTTGGAGGGCCTGGGGGGGGGCAGGAGGAAGACCGTGTGGCTGCTCCCCCCCATCCCTTCTGCACCCCACTCACCACCAGAGCGACCCCCAGGTGGCTGCCCTGCAGTGGGGGGCAGGGGCTGAGGACCGCCAGCCCCATCAGGTAGGCCCCAAAGACGCATCCGGCAGCCGAGATGATGCTCAGGGCCAGCAAGGACCTGGAAGAGGGAGAGAAGGGTGGCTGGGGAGGGGTCTGCGCCTAGCCAAGGCAACCCCCCCCCCCAATGCTGGGCCCTGACCCCCCCCCAGGACCCGGGGAGGGGATGGCGGGGGGGGGAGGGGTTTAACAAGGGAAGCCCCTCCTTCCCGCTGCCTTGTCCTCACCTGCTGGGCGAGTGTAGCCTCCCCCTCCCCCCAAGAGACCCCCAAGTGCTGGAGGCCTTGGCTGAAGCCCCCCCAAACCCTCCCAGCCCCCCCCCACCTCCTTGGGTCCAGCACAATCCGGGGCAGCTCTGCACAAAACCCCCGACTAATGAAGCCCCTCCCTTTGGGTCTGTCCGGAGTCCAAGCCCTCTCATCCTCATCCAAATCCAGGGGTCCCCAAACTTGGCCACTTTAAGGCTGGTGGACTTCAACTCCCAGAATTCTGCACCCAGCCGTGCTATGGTTCTATGGTTCCTATCTCTAGGATGCTGTGCTATGTTGGCTGGGGAATTCTGGGAGTTGAAGTCCACCAGTCTTAAAGCGGCCAAGAGTGGACAGCTCTCCCCTAATCCATAGGTGTGGTTTTGTGCGGCTGTGTGTTTGTTACACGAGTCGCCTCTGGACACAACATCCTCCCTGAGGTGTGCGAGGCAGCCCTGAAACCGGCCTGAGGGTGATTTATTTAGCACGTGGCAATATCACACACGGATTTGACACGTATGTTAAGCTTTCACCTCCATTAAAAACACCCGTAAAATCAGATGCAGAAGGCAGAGCTGACGTTGTGGCGAGACGACGGAATCCCTAGGGGCTCCTGGGGGGACCCGTCAAAATCCTGACAGCCGGTGGTCCATCTGGACCTAAATCGCCTCGGAGGGGACACTCTGTAGATCCCAGGGATACCGCAAGATCCCTGGCAGATCCAGAGGTAGCCTCTCACGCTGACTGAAGCACAGCATCGTTTGTGTAGGGAAAAAACAGATCTGGACCGGAAGAAAGAGAGGGGCAAACGGGCCTGGGTAGCCCCCCGCTAAGGCCAGTCAGAAGACCCCCGAGAAGCAGTCTGGATAAAGGGCAGGGGGGATAACTCCCTAAGATGGCTCCGACGCCAGGACCAGCTGGACCAGGAAAAGTCACCGAAGTTCCCCAGGTGGGCATCAACACCTGAGCTACCCCAGACTGAGAGACAACAGGACCCTGGGAGGTGAAGTCAATTCTCCCATCAACCCCGGGAGGGACTGGACCAGGGCAGGTAGGGGGACATCGCTACAGGTAGTCCTCAGTCTACAACCGTTGTTCAGTGTCTGTTCGAAGTTACAACGACACTGAAAAAAGGGGATTTATGACCCCTTTACACACTTTCCACCATTGTGGCATCCCCACATGATCAACATTGAGACCCTTGGCCATGGATTCACAATTATGAGGGTCCCAGGGTCTCTTCTTGTGACCTTCTGACAAGCAAAATCAACGGGGAAGCCCAGTTCACTTAACAACCATGTGACTACCTTTGTAACTGTGGTGGTTCACTTAATGACTGTGGCAAGAAAGGTCGTAAATTGGGGCCAAGCTCACTTGAGGGAAATTTGGGGACTCAACTGTGGGTGTAAGTCAGAAGCCTCCAAACTTGGCAACTTTAAGACTTGTGGACTTCAACTCCCAGAATGGGGACCCCTGGCGTAAGTCAAGGACTCCCTGTATCCCCCACCGGATCCACCTGTCCCTGCCCCCAATGCCCCATGGGCTGAGGCAGGAAGCCCCCTCCCCACCCCGGACCTCTCCAGGCACTTACCGACTCAGGAGGAACATGGCGACGAAGCAGGCCACGGGGTTGGCGATGTTGCCAAAGACCACCGAGAGATGGAAGGCGGTGTTGCCGTAGGGCAGGCAGGAGTAGCTCTGCACGGAGGGCAGCACCCCATTGGTCAGGGCATTGGAGACCCCCAGGAGCCCCAGCAGGTAGATGTTCCTCCCGGTCCAGAAGATCAGCAGAGGGGTAGAGTCCCTGCCGGGGGGCCCCTCGTTGGTACCGTCATGCAAGGCCGGGTCACTGTCATCACGCAACGGGTAGACCTCCTCCGGGCCTGTCCTCCCCTCCGGAGGGACCCTCTCTTTCGGGCCCTCCCGGCGGCCGTGCCAGAGGACCAGGGCCAGGAAAGCCAGCGCAGAGCCCACCAGCAGGGCCACCAGCAGCCCAAAGTAGGTGCCGGCGGAGAAGTTCTCCTGCAGGTAGCGCGGCTGAGAAGCGTTCCCCCAGGTGCCGTTGGGGCACTCCAGCTGCCCCACGCCCTGCCCCAGGGCCAGCACGCAGGGCAGGAGGGCGCTCAGTCCCTGCCCGATGAAGAAGGTGCGGACGAAGAGCGGGGGGAACTGGTACATGTAGGGCAGGAAGGAGACGTTGGAGGTGCAGCAGGCCAGCGCCAGCAGGAAGGCCAGCACCAGGAAGGCCACGCTGCGGGGCTGCCCGGCCACCACGGCCGTGTGGTCCCACAGGAGGGCCAGGAGGAGCGCTGTGGCCGTGGCCAAGGCCTGGATGGCGTGGATCAGCCACCGCTCCTTCAGCCTCTTGGGGGCGAAGTGGTGGATCAGGGCCACGCTCACTGGGCCGAGGTTCCCCAGGGCGATGAGGACGGAGAGGTAGGCGGGCAGGTTCCAGCCTGCAGAAAGAGAAGGGGCAACGGTGCCAACCCAGGTGCCCGGCAGTCTCTCGCCAAGGGGGGCTCTGCCCATCTGGAAGCCGGGTGCACCAGTTCTGCTGGGAATCTTAAAGTGGCCACGGTTGGACACGCCTTGTATAGGGACTCCTTCTTGAGCAGGGGTTGGACTAGAAGACCTCCAAGATCCCTTCCAGCTCTGTTTATTCTGTTCTACTCTACTCTTTCTATATCCCAAGGATCTTCAAACTTGGCAGCTTGAAGACTGGTGGACTTCAACTCCCAGAATTCCTGAGCAAACATGACTGGAGGAGGAGGAATTCTGGGAGTTGAAGTCCACAAGTCCCAAAGCTGTCAAACTTGAAGACTCCTGTTGTATCTTATATGCAGCTCTATCATTCCCCTCTATTGGAGTGGTTTCCTGTATCACGTTGCCCCTCCAGGTTTCATCTCTATGGTTCCTGTGATGCATTTCCTGTTCTTGTATTACTCTAACACAAGGATCTTCAACCTTGGCCAGTTTAAGACTTGTGGACTTCAACTCCCAGAATTCCTGAGCTAGTGTGACTAGAGGAGGAATTCTGGGAGTTGAAGTCCACAAGTCTTCAAGCTGCCAAGTTTGGAGACCCCTGCAGTATAGAATAATTATTCTATACTATTCTATATTATTCTATATTCTACATTCCCTTGTTCTTCGCTGTCCTATCCTAAATAGGCCAGCAGTTCTCCATTCTTTTTTTTTGTGGGGGGGGGGGGGCGGCTAACAGCCCCTGGCCGGGTCTTCCCCCCCCCGGCCCCCCCCGCCAAGGCCCCCCCCCCCCCCCCCCCCAGGAAGCCACGTGGCTACATCCCTTCCCTGGCAGACCCTCCCGCTTCTCTGGATGGCAGCCGGGCAGCTTTCCCTCTCCCCCCTCCCCATTGCCCCCTGCCCAGCAAACAGGCTCCTCCCCCTGGGAGCCCCTCACTCACCTTCCGGCAGCCTCTTCACCACCACCGGCAGCTCCACCCAGAGGGAGTTCACGGAAACCCAGGAGCCCATCCCAAAGAGGGCCACCAGCACGTGGGGAAGGAGGGCCGGGCTGCGCTGGGAGGTGGAGGACATCTTGGTGGCCTGCGGAGAGACAGGGAGTCCCCAAAGGCCCCACTTCATCTCCAGCTGCCAAGCCTATTCAGGGCCTGCGAATGTCCCTCCTCCCAGCCCCACGGGCCCCCCCCCTCCGTCTTCAACTGCGGGACAGGACCAGGCCTTGCTCTCCTCAGGCCAGGGGTCTCCAACCAGGGTCATTTAAAAGGCATGTGGACTCCCACTCCCAGAATTCCCCAGCCAGCCGGGCTGGCTGGGGAATTCTGGGAGTGGAAGTCCACAGTGGTGGTGAACAGTGGTGGGATTCTACCGGTTGGGGCGAACCGGGAGTAAAAAAAACAGCTACTGGTTCAGCCAAACTGGTGGAGGGTTCTTTTGTCCTCCCGACGATCAGCTGTTCCAATGATCAGCTGTTCCAGGATCCCGCTCCTTGTCCTACTGCTTTGCCCAGGCGGCTTCTCGGGGGGCCAGGAGGCAAAAAGGGCTGCATGGGGGGGGGGAGGGGAGTGCGTGGGGTGTGGGCTGTGCGGTGTCCCTCCCCCCCAGTGCTCTGTTTTTTGCCTCCCCGAGGCCCCCTGGGAGCAAAAACAGCCCCCCAGGAGGCTTCCCTGGGGCTCAGAAGGCAAAACAATGGAGTGCATGCCGGGGTGTGTGTGTGTGTGCGCAAAAAAAGAGAGGCCACACCCACCCAGTCCCATGGCCACGCCCACCTAGCCAGACCCACAGAACTGGTAGTAACAAAAATATCTTCATCCCACCCCTGGCGGTGAAGCTTCCGTGGCCGGCTGGGGGATTCTGGGAGTGGAAGTCTTACAGCCGCCAAGCTTGAGCCCCCCCCATAAGTCTTCTGCAGCCCCATGTCACGGGCGGAGATGTGGAGGGCGCTGCTGCTTGGACCCCCTCCCCACGAGGCTCCGCTTGGAGACCGAAATCAGGACTCTATCTTGGGGCACCAGGAAATATCGAGGGGCCAAAAAACAACAACACCCCCTCGGCTCTTTTGCCTGTGCACAGAGGAGCGGATGAAGGAGAATCTTTGCCGGTCGGGGGCTGAAAGGAGGGGCTCTCGGTGCTCTCTGAGCTTGGGGGGTTTCTTGCTGCGCTGCCCCCACCCACCCACCTGGCAGGGCTGGCGGAGGGGGCTTGAGTCCGCCTGTTCCCCCCACAGTCCCATGTCAGCTTTTCAGCTGCAAGCTTAGCCCAGTCCTTAGCCCCCCCCTTCGCCATCAGGCTCGGCCTTATTTTCGGGGAAACGCGGCACTGAGGACCACTCACCCATGAGCAGAGACGGTAGCTGGACTGAACGGAGGACTCTTCTGTTTAGTGCGGGGGGGGGGGATCAGTTGGGCCACCCCTGAGGCAGCTGCCGCTTGCTGAACCTGCCCCCGCCCCTTTTATAATTGGGGGAGGCTGAAGGCAGCTGGGCCCCCGGGGTCTGCACACCCTGGGTGAAGTGGGGGCCCTCCCGCTCTCCTGAGAGAGAGTTCCAGAGGAGGAGGAGGAGGAGGAGGAGGAAGGCCTGGCGTGACCCAGAGTGCTTATGGGGTGAGAGGGGAGGAGGGCTTAGGAGGGGCCTCTTTGTTGGGGGAGACGGAGGGAAAGGGGCTGCCCCAATGGAGCCCTGGGGCCAGGCAGGAGCCTAAGCGGGAAGGGGAGGGGAGAGCCCCCCCCCCAGAAGGACCCTCCTCTTACCCAGCCTGGAGGCCAATCCTCCTCCTGGAGTCAGTCAGTAGCTTCCTGAACGGTTGGAATTCCGGGCGGGAATGTGGCATGGGGCATGCCCAGGCAGCTCTGCAGAAGAAAAGGGCCAGGGGTTGGTTTCTGCCAAGGCGCCCTGCAGCCCCCCACCATCCGAAGCCTCAGGCCCAGCTGGTCTTCGGCTTAGCCCCCATAGCAGCTCAGAGGGGCCTTTAGCTCTGGCTGGGGGCGGGGGGGGGGGGATGGCACAGAGGCAACCCTCCCACGGCTCATGCCGCCTGGGCGCCAACAGTGAAAACCACCACGTGTGCATCCCTCTGGTTGGGAAGTTTGGGGAAACCCTCCGCCCCGGAGAGCCCAGCAAGCGACAAGGCCGCCAAAAGATGCCCCCGACCGTCTCACTGCTCCGTCTGGGTGGTGGGAGCGTCGGCTCAGGGTCTCAGCTGGAAAACTGCTGACCCCGTGATTTATTTATTTTTTTTTAAATTTTAAAGTTGACTCCCTTTTAGGCAACATCAGGGATCCCTTCCCGAAATTCTCTGAGCTGCTCAGGCCCAAGGCATTTCCATGCCCACCCGGCACGCTCTCCCGAGGGCAAACAAGGCTGGGCCCTGCTTAGCTTCGGAGCCTGCAGAAAGACACCCCCTCCCCCCTTCTTGAGCAGGGGTTGGACTAGAAGACCTCCGAGATCCCTTCCAGCTGTTTATTCTGTTCTCTTCTCCTCGACTCTTTCTATATCCCAAGGATCTTCAAACTTGGCAGCTTGAAGACGGGTGGACTTCAACTCCCAGAATTCCCCAGCCAGCACAGCACAGCGGCCACGTTTGGGGGTCTCTGCTCCCCGGGGATCGCCCAGCGCCGACCCCCCGGCTCCCTCCGCTCTCCTCCGCCCAGGGAACCCGGCGCAGCCCGGCGCCTGCTCTCCGTCCGGGTCCGAGGAGGGTGGGGGGGCTCTTCAAGGCCCGTTTCCGGACCGCCCGCTTTGGCCAGCCCCCTCCCAGCCCCCCGCGGCCATTGGGGAGGAAGCCCCCGCCAGCCCCCCCCCGGGGCCTCCGCCGCCGGCAGCAGCTCCCAGCCCCCGCCTCTGCTTCCCTGCCTTCGGGGAGCGGGGGGGGCTCCGGAATGGCCCCCGGCCCGCTTACCTGCCCAGGCCCGGAAGGCAGAGCGGCGGCCGGAGACTCGGCGCGGGGCTGAGCATCGCCTTTTAGGCGGCGGGCGGGGCTCCCCGGGCGGCCTCGTCACCTGCAGCGGCGGGGCGGCTGGGGCCGCGTGCGGGGGAGGGGCGCCGGCCGGGTCCTGGCCCTCCCCCCGCCCCTTCCCGGCGGCCCCCGCGCCGCGCCCCTCCCCCCCCGGGGCTTTTGGGAGGCGGAGCCACAGCGGCCATGCGGCGCAAGGCCTGCCCGGCGCCCCCCCGCCCGAAGAGGAGGAGGCGGCGGGGGTCGCGGGGGTCGCGGGAGGCGGGGGGCTCGCCGCGCTTCGTGGTGCAGGAGACGGAGGAAGCGGCGCTGCTGCTGGTGCCCGAGGAGGGCCCGGCGGGGCCGCGGGGGGCGCGCAGGAGGCGGGGCGGCGGGGCCGAGCCGGGGGGCGCGGGGTCCCCGGGGGGCGCCTGGGGGTCCCGCCTCCCGGCCGAGCTGCTGGTGCGCGTCTTCGGGCTGGCGGCGGCCTCCGAGGGGGGCGCGGTGCCCTTCCTGTGCCGGTGAGCGTGGGGAGGGGGGGGCGGCGCGGCTGCCCCCCGGGGCCCCCCGCCCGCCCCCCCCCCCGCCCCCCGCGCCTCTCTCTCTCTCTCTCCCCGCAGGGCGGCCCGCGTGTGCCGGCTGTGGTGCCGAGCGGCGGCGGCGCCGGTGCTGTGGCAGCGGGTGGCGGTGGGGCACTGCTGGGCGGCCCCGGGGCAGAAGTGGGTCCCTGCGCAGCAGCAGAAGGCCCTGGGCACCCTGGAGTGGCTGGCGGCCCACAGGTGAGGATGAGGACGGGCCCCGCGTCCCCCTCCCCCCGTTTCCCCGGGACCCGACCCGAGGACCTTCTGTGCCCCGCAGGTTCTCCCTCCTGCGCGACTTCACGCTCAGCCACTGGAAGAGCCTCGTCCCGCCAGTGCTGCAGGTGAGTGGGGGGGGAGAGGGGAGGGGCAGGTGGATGTCCTGCCCGGCCCCCTTCCTGCCCTCCACCTGCCAGCTGACCCCCCCCTGTCTTTGCAGGCTCTGGCCGCTTCCAGCCCGCACCTGGCCACCCTGCGCCTGGCCCACTGCAGCGGGGTGACCACCGAGCCCCTTTGCCAGCTGGCCACGTCCTGCCCACGACTGGTGAGCCTGAACCTGCAGGGATGCCAGGTGAGCCTTGGCCCGAGGGAGGGAGGGAGGGTCCCGGGGACTGCTAGCCCCAACCTGGAGGATGGAGGAGACAGGCTCTCATCTGCCCCTCCAGGTGGACCCCTGGGCGGTCACCGGCTTCCTGGAAAGGGCAGGTGCCCGGATGGAGCAGCTCTCGCTGACCTACAGCAGCCGCCTGAGCGCCATTTTTGCTCTCCTGGTGGTAAGCAGAGCGGGGGACCTGCGAAGGCCGGACCTGACACCCCCCCCCCACGGAGCAGCCCCTCCCTCCAGGGGGACCCAGCCTGGCAAGGAGGGTCTCTGCCAGGCTGGCCAGGAGGGCAACTGCCAGCAGCTGCGGTTTGGATCTAACCAGGGATATTGGCGGCTGAGGTTCGAGTCCCGAAGGCCGCATCCCCTCCGAGACCCCTTGGCAGCCCAGCCTCTCGGGGCTCCCGCTGGAGTGGCTGGCCTTGCTCTGAGCGGCATCGGCTCCCGGCCTGGTTTGGCTTCCAGTTTGGGGGCTTTGCACTTAGTCCTCCTCTTACAACCGTGTGTTTAGCGGCTGTTTGAACGGCATTGAGAAAAGGGACTTACGACCGTTTGTCACAACTGTTGCAGCACCCCTGTGGTCAAAATTGAAACCCTTGTCCGGTGACTCGTATTTATGGCCCGGGGTCATAAATGTCCCGGGGTCACGTGATCATTTTTTTTCTTTTGCAACCTTCTGATAAACGGAGTGATTAGGGAAGCCAGATTCACTTAAGGACCGATTCACTTAACAACAGTGGCCAGAAGGTTTGTCAAGTGGGGCAAAATTCACTTGACGGCTGTCTCAGCCCCAGAAAATGTGGGGTCAGTTATGGTCAGAAGTTGAGGAACCGCAGGCTGAAGGAGGGTGGGGAAGCTAAGAGACGTTCCTGGGTGGGAGGAGGAGGCGCCGGAAGTCAAGGTGTTCAGGGCGTACCTGTCCGTTCCAAGGGGAGCCAGGCGCTCCGTGCAGATTCATCCAAGGGAGAAGCCACGGGAGTTGTAGTTGCTTGCGCCTGGCAGCGCACCAAGAGGCCAGGCCAGGGGCGGCAGGCGACTGCTGACTCGTGTTGGGCACATCCCTCCAGGGGGGCCCTCCTGCGCTGGGCTGGACCCTCTGGAGCTGACCCAGCCTGTTCTCCGGTTGCCCCCCCCTCATCCTTCCCCCCCCCCCCCCAGGGTGGCTGCTGCCCGGACCTGCGGCTGCTGGAGGTGAATGCGGAGATCAAGCAATGCACCCAGCACTTCCAGCTGCCCATTGAACAGCTGCAGGCCGCCTGTCCACAGCTGCAGGTGTGTGGGGGTCCCTCCTGCCCCCTCCCCGAGTCAGAACCTGACTTCCTGGCTGCTGGGTGGGGTGGGGGGAGGAACTGGCTCTTCCAGAGGAGCCCTGGGGGGGGGGCGGTTTCCTGCAGCCCGTCAGCAGCTGCTCTGCGCACTCCTCCTGCCCACAGGTGCTGCGGCTGCTCAACGTCACCTACTACCCGAAGCAACTCCCGGCCTCGTCCCCACCATCCCCGGGCTTCCCACAGCTGGAGGAGCTGTGCCTGGCCACCACGGCCTTCTCCTTCGTGGACAACCACATGCTGTGGCGCATTCTCAGCGCCTCCAGCCGCCTCCGTGTCCTGGACCTGCGTGGCTGCGTCCGTGTGACGCCCAAAGGGCTGGAGCGGCTGACCTGCCCAGGTGGGTGCAGAAGAGGGGGCCCCCTTGTTTCCAGGCAACCAGTTAGGTTCTCCTCTCCCCTCCTTAGCCTCCAGCCCCACACGGGGGGGGGGGGGGATCTGGGTGTGGGAAAACAGCCCCCCCACCCCGTAGGCTCCTTTTTCCTGCAAAGGCAGCAGAAGGCGAGACCAGAAACAACAGACGGAAACTTGGTTTGCCCCGGCCTCCAGGTCCTGGCAGGGCTGAGCGAAGGTCACCCAGCTGGCATCGGGCCTGGCAGGACTGGAGTGCCCGGGTTCCAGCCTGATGCTCCACCTCCGCCCCAAATGGGTGGCGGGAATGGCATCCCTGAAGCCCACCCACCAAAGGGACAGGGTCTCGCCTCCCCTCTTCTTCCCTGGACGGCTGCGGGGGCCTTTAAGAACCGAGATGTCAGCCCAAAACTTGGCTAACGGGAGCTTTTACATGTGGCTCTTTGGAGGGTGGGTGGTTTATGGGGGCCACCCTGAGATCAAGGAGACGTTCACCCCCCTGCGACTCTCAGCGGAGGAAGTGATATGATGTGAAGGAAGCGGAGGGGCCTGGAGGCTAAAACATACAAGAATGGTTGCAGTGTTGGGGTAGGGATAGTCTAAGGAAGGCGGGGGGTGGGGGGACATGATGGCCGCCTTCCAGCCTTTGAGGGGCCGCCCCAAAGGAGAGGGGTGGTCTCAACCTCTTCTCCAAAGCCCCCGAAGGCAGGACAAGAAAGAAAGGATGGAAACTAGTCAAAGAGAGGAGCAACCTGGAATTAAGGAGGAATTTTTGACAGCGAGGACAATTAACCAGTGGAACCAGCTGCCACCAGAGGCTGTGGCTGCTGGAGGTTTCTAAGAAGAGCCTGGGCAGAGACTTGACTCAAATTGTACAGGGTCTCCTGCTTGAGCAGGGGGCTGGACTAGAAGACCTCCAGGGTCCCTTCCAGCTCTCATGGGTTGAAAAGTGCCCTTGCCTCTTCCGGGCAGGAGGCCGACGGTCCCCTCGGGAGCAGTTGGGCATTCCCAGGTTCTTGGGGAGACTGGCTGGAGCAGCCGGTGATGGTGGCCGGGTGGGGCAGGCCGGTTGGGGACCCCTCCCCTGCCTCCCGAGGGGAGGGGCTCTGGCAGGGGGTCTTTTCTCCCCGCTGACCTCGGAAGCATTTCCTGCAGACCTGGAGCAGCTCTACCTGGGCCTGCATTACAGCGACCGCAGCCTCTCCCGGCCTCTGGAAGGCAGCCCCCTCCTCACCTGGAAGTGGCGGCACAGCCTGCGGGAGCTGGACCTGACCAGCCAGGGCTTCAGCGAGGAAGACCTGGAGGAGGCCATGGCCGCCTTCACTCGGGGAGGGGCTCCGCTGCTGCGCTCCCTCAGCCTCACGGGGACCAAGATCGCCCTCCGGACCGTCAGGTGAGCCGGGCAGGGGCCCCCCTCCCCCTCCCTCTCCTTGTTGCTTCCACCTGCAGGGCCAAGAAACCGGGGGGGGGGGGGGGGGGGGGGGGGCCTGGGGATTTTGTTTGCCCTTGGGGGGCCGGGGGGGGGCCCATGGCCTGGGCGTGGCCGGGCCCAGGGTGGCAGGGCCGGCCCCTCACTGTCTGTAGGACGGCCAACTCCACAGCCTATGGCAGGCTGGGCATAGGCTTGGCACCCCTGCACTGGGGCACCTGGAGGTCCTCGATCCCAGAAGGTGTTTCGTCCCAGGAAAAGGGGGTTCTTCCCCCTGGCAATTGCCCTTAGACGAATACACCCCTTTGTAGCGCTTTGACAGCCCCCTCTAAGTGGTTTGCAGGGTCAGCCTGTTGCCCTCCACCATTTTGGGTCCTCATTTGACCCACCTCGGAAGGATGGACGGCTGAGTCAACCTGGAGCCTGGCGGGACTTGAACGGCCAACCCCTCCAGGAATTGGCATAGCCAAGAACGCCCAGCTTTGCCAGCCTCCCAGCCTGCCACCTGCCTTTGGGGGCTGGGCTAGGGGAAGGCCGGCAGGTTGGGGGAGGGGGGAGGCCCCCTGGCAGCCCTGGGGTGGCTCTTAAGCAGCGTCTAGACAGCCGCTTGTCTGCAGTGGGATAGGTTCCCCTGCTCCAGCAGGGGGCTGGACTAGATGACCTCCAAGGCCCCTTCCTGCTCATTCTACTCCACTCCAATGGAGGGGGGGTCCTCTGCGATGCCTGGGGAACAGGGACAGGCGGCGGTGGCCACTTCGGCTCCCAGACCCCCCGAGCTGGCGCTGGTGAGGAGGGCCCGCTCCCCCCCCCCCCCCCCCCCCCCCCCCCCCCAGCTACAGAGGCCTTTGGCAAGGGGCCAAAGAAGGCAGCCAGTCCTTCGCTTAACAACCGTTTGTTTAGTGACCGTTCAAAGTTATAATAGCACTGGGGGGGGGAGCCTTTTCCCCACTTAACCACCATTGCAGCCTCCCTGTGGTCGCCTGATCGAAATTCAGATGCTTAGCGCCCCACCCCCCTTTATGCGGGTTGGGTGGTCCCCCCCCCCCCCCCCCCCCCCCCCCGATCTTCTGGATGAGCAAAGTCAATTGGGGAAGCCAGGTTCGCTTAACGACTGTTACTAACTTAAGACCTGCAGTGATTCTACAAACCGCTTTGGCAAGAAAGGGGCAGAAATGGGGCAGAACTCGCTTAACGACCGTCTCTTGGCAGCAGACATTGCGGTCCTACGTCGATGCCTGTCGTGGCCCTAACCGAAGTCCCTTCTCTTTCCTCCCCCCCTCCGGCAAGGACCCTGATCGCCAGCTGCCCCTCCCTCAGCTACCTCAACCTCTCCTCCTGCCGCCAGCTGCCCCGGGGCACCAAGAAGGCCTATCGCGGCCCGGGTGAAATCCGCCAGTGTTTGCGGCAGCTCTTGACCGCCTTGGAAGACCCGGAGACCCCAGAGGGGGGGGCAACTTAAGGCCTGCGACCCCTGAACTCTGGGGCAGCACAAGCCCTCCTTCCCAGAGCTGCCGAGTTGGGTCCCCTCCCCGTTTTGCAGGATGGACGGCTGGCCCTCCACTCCTAATTCGAAGGGGCAGCCCTCCCTCCGTCCCCCCCCCCCTCAGCCTCAGGAAGTCCAGCATGGAAGCACCTTCACGGTTGACTCTGGCTTTTGTACGTATTTCTCTTTTCTAAGGTTTGTAGACTCAGGTCCTGTCCGAATAAAAGGATGCTTGTCTTTTTGTCATTGGTGTAGCGTTTCTTCTTTTGAGTGCAGAAGTCCCAACTTCTCCCTCCCCTTCTCTCTCCCTCCAATCCCGGAGTTTTGTTCATTATTCCTGCCCTCCCCCCACCTGCTGCTTCACTGGGGGGCAGAGAGAGAGAGAGACACTGACCGGGACCCAAAGGTGTTTCTCACCCCAGAAGCTTTTTCAGTTCTGACTGAATGGTGGGGAATGGAAGGATTTACATGCTGTGCAGTCCTCTGGTCTTTGGCGCTCTCTCTGAGAATACTCCTTCCAATTCCCCCCCCCAGCCATATGCACCATTTAGTCAGAACTGGAGAAGCTTCTGGGATGAGAAGGGAAATGTCTTCAAGGAAAAAACAAGCAAAGGCCAATTATCTTTTCAAAAACCACCTTTGGGACAAACTCCACCTAGGTGGTCGGAGAACATCCGTGGGCTTCCAGAGTCCTGGTGGCTGCATAAAGTCTTCCTAGTGTTACTCCCTGGACCCTCCAGTGGACCTTGCTGGACTACTGACCCAGTTCAGCCCATGGGAGGGAACGCTGCCCTGGCCCTGGAGCTCCCGAATGTGGCTGGGGAATTCTGGGAGTTGAAGTCCACCAGTCTTAAAATTGCCTAGTTTGGAAAACCTTGCCTTAAAACGGGCTGTCTGCTGTCAATCAATTGCCCGACAGGCAGAGTAATTTTCAAACTTGCTCAGAATGGAGAAACTCGGGGTGGGGAGTATATTTTTTTAGTTTGTATATTGGTTTTTTTTTTAACCCTCCATCCCCCTCCAGAGTCACCCAAAGCCAGCGGGTAGTCATAAAAATGTTCTTAAATAAACAAACTACAAATCGAAAAAACAGCAAAGATTTTGTGGTGGTACACATGAAGATGAATTGCGTTCAGGATTAAAAAAAAACTACCATATGAGATTTTAACACACACACCACACCCACACACACACACACCCCTTTTAAAATGTTCACATTTAAAGTCCCTTTGTGAGAAAACATTCACAGAAAGCTGACTTGCAGTTAAGTCCAGTTTCTATTCCCTGGCTTATCTCAAGAGATAAGGGGGCCAATTTATTCTCCAAAGCACCCGAGGGCAGGACAAGGAACAAGGGATGGAAACTCATCCAGGAGAGAAGCAACCTGGAACGAAGGGGGAACTTCCGAACAGGGAGGAGGACAATGAACCAGTGGAACTGCCTGCCACCAGAAGTCGTGGGTACTTGTCTGAAGTATATAGGCTTGAGTAGGGGGTGGACTAGAAGACCCCCAAGGCCCCTTCCAGCTCTACTTTGATAGTGGGGTTAGTATGCTGACCTGGGGACTAGGGATTCGAAGGTCTCCAGGTGGCTTTATCAAGATTTACAATGTGTTTGCTTCTCTCTCTCTTCCCCCCCCCCCCCGGGGGGGGGCGGGGGTGGCCGGCCCCCCCCCCCCCCCCCCCCCCGCACTAAGCCAGGTCTGCTTCTCCTGGCCTGCTCCCCCCTCCCCTCCGGAGAGGACGGGGCTGGTGTCTGGACATTTCTATTCTCTCATGTACGAATGTCACCATGAACCAAAATGGAATAGAGCTGGAAGGGACCTTGTAGGTCATCTAGTCCAACCCCCCGCCCAAGCAGGAGACCCTATACCCTTTCAGACAAGTGGCTGCCCAGTCTCTTCTTTAAAACCTCCAGTGTTGGAGCTCCCACAACTTCTGGTGGGAAGCAGTTCCACTGGTTAATTGTTCTGTTCTGCTTCTGTCCTTGGTTAGTTTCCATCCGTTGCTTCTCGTCTTGCCCTCAGGTGCTTTGGAGAATAGCTTGACCCCCCTCCTCTTTGTAGCAACCCCTGAGATATTGGAAGATCGTATGTCACCCCCAGTCCTTCTTTTCATCAAAGTAGACCTATCTAGTTCCAGCAACTGTTCTTCATATGTTTTAGCCTCCAGTCCCCTAATTCTCTTTGTTGCACTTTTTCTAGAGTCTCAACATCTTTTTTACATCATGGCGACCAAAACTGGATGCAAATATGCCAAAGGTGGCCTCACCAAGGCCTTCTAAA